AGGTAGTCTCAAGAACTGGGACAGAGATGGTTAAGAGCGGCTGAGTGGTTGGCTGACTCAGGCAGGCGGGGCAGGAGGTGAGCGCTTTCCACTTAAACCTGTGGCGTTTCACCCCCTGGTGGCACACTTCTTATTTGGGTAACTAATAAATTATGCCAGACCTGTACCTACAGGTGAGAGAAGCATTGGTACATGAGGACATCAGCATTTAATTTTTTCCTACTCTCCTTTTGATTCAGTGTCACTGTAATAGTAGTTTGACAATTAAAATCAAGCAAGAATTAAAGAAAAGATATCAGACTCTTCTGTTTGGCCAGTTAGAGATGATTCCAGCAGGGCAGGAAGGCTCCTTGGCTTCTTAGAATCCCCTGGAGTTAACAGGAGTGGTTTAGTACTTTAAGATTTGATTTTCCTGTGTCTTACCAAGAGGAAGTCAGTGGGTGGGATTGCAGACCCAGGGAGTCACTGGTATCCTGGGACAACCAGACGGAATCCCTTCTGAAAGGGCAAAGCAAGTATGTGAATTTGCATAATTGTGAAGTACTGAATACTTCCCCAAGGTCACTCTGGCAGTTGCCTGGTACCTTTTCACAAATCCCTTTGAAGTAATGTCGTCCTCACTATTCATAGAAGACCCTGAGTTGAGATGGGAAATGCCTAGGGTGGCCTGGACAGAACAGGTGGGGGAACTCAGCTTCCTGGTTACATGGTCCCCCTGCTGGGACCACCATCTTTGTGTGACTTTCAGAAGATGGCCAGAGTCTGGGAGGAAGGACATGCATAATGGATCCAACAGAGCCGTCAAAACATCCAGCAATTCTCGTTGACCAAGCAAGCGTCTGGTCTTAGAGAACTTTCTATTCAAGAAGTCTTGAACGTAGCCTAGCACAGGGCTCAATGTGCCAAATGTATGCAGTGCCACTGTGTCCTCAAGGTCCTCCTTTCCAAAATAAGGACTCTGCATGAGGGTGAGGGAGGTGGTTGGTGGTTATGTACCTCCTGGAGATGTGCCCAGTAGGAATCACAGGATAAGGGGTGTGTGTCCAAGAAATGGAAGGACAGCAGCCTGTGTATGCAGCGAGTGCAGCTGGCAATGCTCTGGTGGGTATTCTAACCTTTGGTAAACTGGAACCCAGTTACAGACAGGTATTCTGTTACAGACGGAAAGGTTTTCTACCCTTTTGTAAACCTGAGGCTGTTACGGACCTGAGGGGTGGACTCATTTGAAGTAGCAGCTTCCAGCCAAAATGACACTCATATTTACAAGCCAGTAGCTCCAAATTGGAAGGTGCATAAGACCCACCTAAAAGGAGGGATTAGAATCGCAAGTTACTGAGCACGTCTTCACAGAGTCCGCCTGGTCAGGCTGAGCTGGTACGCAGATATTTGCACAATTTGAGGACACTTTCCATGTTTGTTTAAAACATTTTTTAAAGAATAATCTCAATTGCATATCTATATATCTGTTTCCATTTTGTTGGTTCCACTTAAAACTTAAGTGTGTGGCTTGTTAAAGACCCTAAATGGATATCACGCCTGTTAACATGTGACCCAGGGACTCCTTTTAACAGGAAACGGAAATCTATTCTCCCTTCGCTCTTGTGGGAATACAGGTATTAAAATAATCCTAAACATATTTTTGATACAACTAACAGTGGAACTGTTGGGGGCCCACAAAACCACCCCCACATCTGGAGATGTTCTCGACAAACTCATGGGCCTAAACACAGTTGTACTCATGGCTAACATTTGTTGGAGCATCACAATGGCAAAGACAGGTGGAGTGTGGAGGAACCTGAGGGGTCACACCAAGCACACCCCCTCCTCCCACAACAAATATGCAGCAACGCAACGTGTGTGAGGTTTCTGCCTAGGGAAGTCCATTAGAGGAGTGCCCAGGGGTTTTGAGTTAGGGTGATGATACTAACATAAAAAATGGACTCACGGCCGGGCGCGGTGGCTCACGCCTGTAATCCTAGCACTCTGGGAGGCCGAGGCGGGCGGAT